CACCCAGAGGAGCAGGGAGGACAGAGACTGAGACAGAGAGGATGACGTGAAGAGAGAGGACGACGCAAAGAGATGGAGTGCCTGGGGACTAGGGATCCAGAGAGGGAGAAGGGCTGTGTGCTGAGGACCATGAGGGGAGGGGGGCCGGGATTGTAGGGCACATCCTTTGGTTGGGCGATGATGCATGGACAGGATGGTAACTATGGCAATGAGACAATGTATGATGGAATGAATGTAAAACTAATGTTCCCCCATGTAGACTATCACACAATACACAATAAAACATTAAAAAAAAAAAAGGAGCTCTGGTAGTGTAGTGGTTACGAATCAGGCTGTGAACTGCAAGGTCAGCAGTTCAAAACTATCAGCTGTTCCACAGGAGAAAGATGAGACTTTCTGCTCCCTTAAAGATATATAGCCTCAGAACCCTATACAGGGTCACTATGAGTCGGAACCGACTCCACGGCACATAACCACCACCACCATATGGTTTAAAATCAGGAAAGATGTGTGCCAAGGTTCTATTTTGTCATCATACTTATTCAGATTGTATGCTGAGCAAATAATCAAGCTGGATTATATGAAGAAAAATGTGGCATCAGAATTGGAAAAAGATTCATTAACAACATGTAGACAATACAACCTTGCTTCCTGGAAGGTAAGAGGACTTAAAATACTTACTTATGATGATCAAAGACTACAGACTTCAGTATGGATTGCACTTCAATGTAAAGAAAACCAAGATCCTCAAGACTGGATCAATAAATAACATCATGATAAATGGAGAAAAGATGGAAGTTGTCGATGACTTCATTTTGCTTGGATCCACAACCAACACTCATCAGCAGTCAAGAAATCAATCGATGAATTGTATTAGACAAATCTGCTGCAAAGGTATCAGTTTGAGGACTAAGATGCACCTGAACCAAACCATATTTTCAATCACCTCATATACATGTGAAATTGAGACAATGAATAAGAAAGACCAGAGAAGAATCGATGCATTTAAATTATGGTGTTGGACAAGAATATTAAAAGTACTATGGATAATTTGCTACCCTTGCTAGAGAGTAAGATCCCCTAAGAACTTGATTGAACCTCAGCATAGTGATCCTGCTTGGTCACCTTAGAGCAGGTGGTGGGCTGGCAACGT